GAGAGAGAGAGAGAGAGAGAGAGAGAGAGAGAGAGAGAGAGAGAGAGAGATACCTTAATGATGTATTATGTGCCAGATACTGTTGTAAGTATAATGTATTTATAAAAGGAAGTCCTTAAAATAACCCTGTGAGGCAGGTACTAGTCTCATTTTTTTTTTCACATTAGAAATTGGCACATGGGAAAGTGATGCACTTTGCTTATCAAAAGTAGCAAATGCTAACCAAAGTCTAGCTTATGAGCTCCTACTTATTACAACTATTGGAGAAACATGACTTACCTGTTAGGAGTCCCATAAAGTTTATAGCAGGTGAGCTCTAAAAATACTGATTTCATTAATTCCTGGATCTTCACAACATCATGAGAGAAAGGAGGTCAGTAGTATTTTTATGATTGGTCACTCTTTGACACTTACCTGTGATACTGGATTTAGATGATTTTCTTGGAAACCTTGACTGTGTCTATATCATTTCCCCTTCCTACTACTTTCCTTTGTTGGCCCCTCTTTTCCATTACCTTCCTTGTTACCCTATCCCTCCTTCTTCCAGTGAAAGCCAGCAAAGTTCACGGCAGGTAGCACTTCAGAGTTCAGAAAGATGTTTAGAATGTGGAGTTATTGGGATCCATATGTAAAATAAGATTCTTTCTAATTTAAGTAAAAAAGTACGAAGCATTCAAGGAAAAGAAGGATGTGGAGTTATTAGTATTAATGAATTGTTGGAATTTTTAATTTTTACATGGGACTAGACTTTAGCTCTCTGTTCCAATGTAAAGTTTTATTTATCTCTCTCTCTCTCTCTCTATCTATCTATCTATCTATCTATCTATCTATCTATCTATCTATCTACTATTTATTTATTTTTTTCGTGACAGTGTTTCTCTATAGTCCTGGCTATCCTGGAACTTGCTCTGTAGACCAGGCTGACCTCAAACTCACAGAGATCTGCCTGCCTCTGCCTCCTGAGTGCTGGGATTAAAGGCGTGTGCCACCACCACCAGGAGGTATAAAGTTGTATTTTCTTTTCTTTTCTTTCTTTCTTTCTTTCTTTCTTTCTTTCTTTCTTTCTTTTTTTTTTTTTTTTTTGGTTTTTCGAGATCTGTGGCTTTGGAGGCTGTCCTGGAACTAGCTCTTGTAGACCAGGCTGGTCTCGAACTCACAGAGATCCACCTGCCTCTGCCTTCCAAGTGCTGGGATTAAAGGCATGCCCCACCAACGCCCAGCTAAAGTTGTATTTTCTAATAACCAAATTTATAGGACAAATGATTAAGGTATTATGTACCTGATTATAAATAATTCTCTGTTCACTAAGATTTTAATCACTTCAGTCTCCTCTAGTAATGTAAGCTAAAATTTAGAAGCTGCCTTCCTGAGGCTGGATGTGGTGGTCCACATCTTTAATTCCTGGAGTCAGACTATTTTTATGAGTTCCAGACCGTCTTGATCTACATAGTTTCAGGGCAGTCTGATCTACATCGACTCTGTCTCAAACAAACCAAGTTGCCTTCCCAGGGCTCAGAAGCTAAGCGCACTCGCTACTCTTGCAGAGGCTCTAGATTCAGTTCCTAGCACCCACAGGGCAGTTCACAATCATCCTTAACTCTAGCTGCAGGAGATACAGCTCCCTCTTCTGGCCTCTGCCAGTACTAGGCATGCATGTAGCTAAAGCAGTCATACACATAAAATAAAAAAAAAATTAAAAACTTCACTTTTTTTCAGAGAAAAACCTTTCATGTCTTCTCCATTAGAATGGCTGTCCCCCAAATAATGATAAATTCTAAACTTTTAGTCTAAAGGATGCTTCTCTTTATTCACAGTCTCAGCACCAGTCTCCAGTTGCTTTTGAAGCTGTGCTTTAGTCATTGTAAACACTACTTTTGGTTTTTATGGAGACAAGGTTTTTCTCTGTGTAGCCCTGGTTGTCCTGGAACTCGAGCTTGCCTGTGTCTGCCTCCCGAGTGCTGGGATTAAAGGTGTGTGCCGCCGCCGCCGCTGCCACCACCACCACCCGGCATTGTAAACATTTTTTAATGCATCTATGTCCTTATCACTTATTTAGTCAATAAGAGAAAACTAACTCAATGTTACTATATATCAGATTATAAGGGGACATGGTCATCTCAAAGAGGTACTTGGAACATTTTGAGGTGTAAAGTTTTAAGAGCCACTTACTCTGAATCAAATTTTCACACTTAAAATTATCTCATGGCCATCCAGCTGCAATCTATTTATTTATTTATTTATTTATTGCATCTTACCCTTTTTCAAATTACTGCTGAGC